AAGAATAAAATTTCACCTACAATATTTTGTCCGTAAATTTTTGTAATATCATCTATATGTAAGATATCTTGATCATCGTCGTCATACTCTGCCATCATTTCCTCCTCCACTTTCTCCAAGATTAATTCTGCATCGTCATCCTCGATATCTGGTTCCGGAGTAGGTTCATCGGGTGGAATATTTATCCTGATGTTAGTCGCAGTTTAATAATTTATTTAACTTAATGAAACTTACAATGAAAGCTACCAATTGCTGTACCTTTTCCATTTGAATTGTGCGACCTTTAAAGCATTATCAGCCAAATTATCCAAAACATAAACAGCATGTTCTCCACTGCCCTGCTTGAGTTTATTGGGTGGGAATTCTACGGGTATATCGATTTCTCTGAGATAATCTAAGATCAGAGCTATTGTGGAATTAGGATCATCTGATTCTTGTGGTATTTCAAAGTTTTTTCCTGCTTTTCTAATCAGCCATGCAGCCAGACAAGTAAACGTGTAAAATTGTTCACCAGGATTTGTTGGAATTACAAAGTGATGCCTGTTTTTCCAATGTTTACGATTATCTTATCAGATATTAAACAGAACATACTGCATCAACATTATAATATCTCACCTATTGATCGGCTTTATTTTTAGTTCTTGCACAAATTCCTCATCGTAATTCAACAACTTCAATTTCTCCAACATATCTTCCATTCGAATGTTTATTACGTACGATGCCGACGGAGCACTCCCGTCTTCCACGACGATTTTTTGAGTATCTCGAAACATGTCGCTGGCCTTTTCAATATATATTGTATTGAATCTATAAAAAGATTAGTAAATACTTTTAATGGAAATATTGCGTGAATAAATTAAACAGCTCAAATAATAATAATAAATAAGTCAAATAAAATCCTTAATTATCAAAACAGAGATTGTGTTTAAGATTAATACATGGTAAAAAAATCTCTAAATCTCTAAATTCCTTGTGGTGGAATCTCAATTTAAAGAATGAAAATTGTTTTGAAAGAGCATTAAAAGTCTTAAAAAAAAAATTTCAATTTTTAAGAATAAAATGAAAAAAATTTCATTCTTCAAAGTAAAATTCCAAAAGTTTTAGAATGTACTCACTAGATAGTTGCAACGCAATCTTGTATTGTGTAACATTTATTTCTAAATTCCGATGTACTAAGAACTGGCAACATATTGTATCATTTGTATCATAGTGGCGACGGAAATCGAGAAAACGTTAATTAATTAATCAAAGAATTGATTAATCAATTGTGTGTTGTAATACAAAACATTGTCATAATAACTCATTGATCAGGACCAACTAAGGTTGGTAAGGTTAAAACAGGTTAAGCTGGCCTTTTATGTTGACAAACATCATCGGCACAAATGTGACTTCTAAAACTTTTCTGAAAAATCGATAGCTTTCACGATCAATCGTCGTTTAGCCGTCGACGAGTTTGACGAATGTGTTTTGATCACAATGTAAAAAAAAAATAACAAAATGAATGCAGTGATCAATTGGAAATTTACCCTGATCGCAACAAATCGAACTAACTTTAACCAAATCTTTTATTTAATTCTCACTGATCGTCTCGTGATTATTTTTAAACGTCCATCAATTTCTTCCATGCTTTCAAAGGTCAAGTTATTCGTCAACAAACTAGTATACTTATCGCTGTCATCGCTGATAGCGCCTGCGTTGTGAGTGCTGCGTGTATATTTTTTTTTATACAACAAAAGTACAAAATTTGCCACTAGATGGCCATTGTCTGTAGGATTTATTTTCGTTGCATTCAATTTTTAGATAATAATCGTAAAATTTTTATTAACGATATGTCAAGACATTTTATGTTTAATGAAATATTTCGTGGAGATGCTCGAGGCGATGTTTGATCGCAGCAGATTCACTTGGAACGTCGGAGATAAAAAGTCGTCGATTTCTCGCATGCGCTCCAAAACTAATAGATTCGTATATATAGCGACTGGAAAAAGACAACTTACGGAAGCGTGTGCTAGTGATGGCACAACTGAACATTGATCGCTAACGTTAGAGCTATGGCAGATCTGCTCAGTGGGTGTTGTCACGTTGTCGTAAGCTTCAAGTAGCTTGAGTGTCAGACTCCCGATTGCGCATGCATCTTCGTGGCTCGTCTTACGATCACGGATTTGCACGCCTGCACGGTCTGAGTCTTCACGTCACTCCTCGAAGTACCGCGATTTCCAAATTGGGGGGCAATCGAATAGGTCAGACGAGGTAATTTGTCGCTTCCATATGCAGGCACTGCTGATGGCGGTTCGCCATTTTTTGTCCTTTGTTTCCAATCCTTTTATAACTTGGAATTTTGTCTGCCTTTCCTTCAACTTGATCTTATTATTAGCCTTTAGCTGAACTTTTGCACCAGTTCATCTTTCTTTGTCTTTCTTCCAAAGAAAAACTGATGCAAAAGTTCTGCAATTTAGCTAAAAAAAAAAGAAACAGGCCTGTTGTCTCATGAAATCTTTAAATTGATTAATTCAAGAAGAAAAGCTACGAGTCAAGTAAGTTCTTTAATGTTAAACAAACGAACATTTCGACCTCAATGGGATCATTATCAATAAAAAGAATACATTTAATTTGAATTGACATTAATAGTAAATAAGTGACACAACTATTTTTACTTTCATACAAAAGAAAAAAATGTTACACATCTTTATAAACTTCGATTTGCGAAATTAAACTGTGACAATTACATTAGTTTTTAGGATTGTTTCTTATAATTAATTCTTATAATAAATTCTAGGAATCGATTTAAAACAATCGCCAATGAATGATATAATCGAGAATGTTATTGTTATATTTATATGTACGAAAAGTTTTATTTTTATTTCAAAATGCAAAATGCTTCGTCAAGCTTTGATCTTTTTCTGCGTCTCGCTATTAATCTCTGAAGAAATTTGCGTGAAGAGGAGATTCCAATTCCAAACTTCATCCGGTTCCTTCACTAAATTCTCATTGTATAATTTGTCTGCAAGAAGAGAAAGGCTGACGCCGTCCAACGATGTATATGCAGCATTTTTTACCAAATCAGTGTCCAATTCCTCATACGCAGTCACTCTATTTGCATTGACTCTAAAAATTACATCACAATTTAATTCAACTCGCAATATATAAAAAAAGAAATTTTTTCTTTATTGAAATAATAATAGTAAATTATTCATATAATTATGTAATATTATAATTAAAAGAACAAAATAACTTTCATAAAACAAAGATACTTATAATTTTTAATTATCTTTCTCTCTATTATAAAGAGAATAAATTAATTATTATTTTTCATCTAGATTGTAACTGTAAATTACTTTGTGTGCATTTTATGCAAGAATTTTAATATAATTTTTATCATAAAAATCTTCAATAATAATAAATAATAAAAATAAAGATTACTTACGTGGGAGCACTTGCAATGTCAGATGAGATGTTATCTTCTTGAATTTCATCCAAATCTGGTATAACTGGAATATCTACAAATACAGAGATCAATAATAGAAGAAGTAATGAGTAATAAAGAAGTATATCAATTTTTTATGTCTATTTTTGTGAATATTGATAAATTACATTAATAAAAGAATTGATCTAAATGAGCTAAAATTACTAATTAAATAATTGAACAATATCTAAGCTCTTATATAGTTTGTCCCAAATCAGCTCACCATCTTCTTGCTCCTCTTTTTCAATCACTCGAAAACGTTCCCTAAGAAATAGGTTTATCAATAGCTAGATACTTGATTCTTCACTTTTATATATTGTACTCACTGTTCAATGATGTTTGATGTCGCCTTTGATCTGTGCAATGAAAAAAGAATTATTTAACTGGTTGTACTTAAACATTAACAAATTTGTTTTAATTCATTTATATATTTGTTATTTTTTGTATTACATGTCTTCTTCTGGATATAATATAAACTCCACTACAGAGAATTATTGTTTACATTAAATAAAATTGGTAGACTCGCTTATTGCAGATTGTAAATCAATATAAGTCTAACACGAACTTAAGATATGTATGCAATACGAATTTTTGAATGTCTTTTATTTATTTATTTTTTTTTCATTTACGTGTACTTAATTATTTATGAAATAAACTTTTTAATCTTCTCAACATTAAAAGTCGATGAAAATAGATGGAAAAAATAGATAATAAAAATCTGCTGCTGTTACCAACAGTGTCGTTACACATAAATGACAAAAAAGAGTTGAAAATTTTTATTGCTCTTGTCAACTTTGTAATTAATTTACAATTTACTTACTTGCCACTTTTCAATTCATCGCCCCAGCCGGTTTTTCTCGATCGAGGTGGAACTATTGGTCTTTGCATAGATATAGACTTTCCGGACGATAAGGAAATAGGACTCTCCAGAGGATCATCATCGGATTTATTATCTTCCAACAAATTATTCTGACCTGCACGTCTACCTAGACGAGGTAGGAGCTACAAATTGATCAATACACATTTAGAATTTCTTAAAATTATATATCATACATATCTTTATATAATTGATTCTATAGTAGACCTGTCCAATTTGAGCTCCGGAGCCAAAATGCAAAGCCATCGAAAAATTCAATGTAGATGAGATTTCGGGGAGTTAAGTGTTGATAGGCATCTAAGTAACACTTATCAACACTTTATAATTCCTTCTTACATTGAATTTTTTTACGTCGATAGTTTTGCATTTTGGCTGCGGAACTCAAATTCGACAGGCCTGCTCTAGGGACTTGGGAAAATTTTTAAAGACTTTACCTTTTTCGAAGTGATCTCAAGATCGTTAGCCCAATCCATCTCTATTCTTTACGCAGCGTTAAAACATGCGTTGAAGTATCAGGTGAATGTCCCAGTGTTGTAACTTAAAGCACTTAAGTCGGACTTTACGGTACATTTGACAAGTGTATGGCCACATTTACATTTGCAAGCGGTAACCATGACGACCGATTTTATTCCTACGCATACATACACTAGTAGCCACACAAATTGATTTTACATGTGTATAAGATAAATACACGTATATATATATATATATATA